TGCTCACTATTAGGGCCTACTTAGATTTTATAACTGCAAGAACTGGTGTTATCTCACTCAGTTCTTATGGAAATCCTCTAAGTTTTGTGAGGAAATTGAGACTTAAGAAGTGACGAAATTTGCCCACATCAGTGGTTCTCAGCTAGGGGTGATACTGCCACCCCCTCCCAGAGGGGGTGTGTTTGACAATGTCTGCAGACATTTTTTGGTTGTCACAACTAGGGAGGAGGGAGTATTGCTGGCATCTAATGGGTAGAGGCCAGAGATGCTGCGAAACATCCTACAATACACAGGACAGTCACCCACAACAAAGAATTATCTGGCCCCAAATGTCAATACTGCAGAAGCTGAGAAACCCTGGCCTATATCAATGAGTAACTAACAAGCTATGGAGCAGGTGCTTGTACATAGGTCTTTGAATTCCACTGCTTTTCCTCTGTGTCAAACACTGAGAAATGTAAGAGAGAAACTCTGACCCAGGTCAGGGTGGTACTCTGCTGGGGAGTTCTGAGCATCTGCACAGTAGAATCCAATTACAAGAGACACCGAGCAAATAAACAGCAAGTATTTCATCCGTTGAGAGAACAGCGAGTTCCATGCAGGGGACTGTGGACTTCCTGTGGGTAGCGGCTCCTTAGTTGAGTTCAGAATGGGCAGGCCTTAAAGGGGCAGAGTTTCCCAACAGTAACGCTGTAAGCTCCAAGACAATAAAACATTGCCTTCAAAGTTCTAAGGCAAAATAATTCTTTCTCAGCTTAGGTTTCACACCAAATTGTCAGTTAAGTGACAGGGCAGAATAAAGACTTTTCTTCAGACATCCAGATTCTCAAAACATTGATCTTTCCTTAGGAAACTCAGAGAATTTGGAACACCCCAGTAAGGGTGACGTGAGTACAGCAAGTTAAAAAGAATGGAAGTGGAATTATATATAGTATATTTACTGGCTCACCAATAAACAGCATTTACATAACCACACTAATTACGGATCTGTTCAGAAATTGTGATATAACTAGATTCAGAGAATGTGGGAGAGAAAAGGACAATAGTCACATTTCAAGTATTCAACAGCCATGCGTTGCTACCCTATTAGCACAGATATAGTACATTTCACCATTCCAGAAAGTTCTGTTGAACAGCACTGTACTAGAGGGTGTACCACATCAAAACAAAGGAGTAAACTGGGAAAGAGAAAGACACTGGGGTCCAGAAAACAGAAACTCAATGTATATAAACGTGGCAAGGGGAAGCCCTAGGGTTCTAGTAAAGAGAGATCCCCAAACAGCTGTCAGAAGGCCCGTTGTCTCTAGATCGATCTAGCGAAAGATCTGTCTGTTTTGTCACTCTTTCCATAGAACCCACTTTTGGTTTCATTGATTTTCTGTAGGTTTTTTTTATGTCCTGTTTCATTCATTTCTGCACTAGTTTTATTACTTCCTTTCTCCTTTGGATTTGGTACCACATCTTTTCAAGTGCAGAAATCCACAGATCAGTGGGGACAGGTGAGTTTTGAGGCTGGTTTCCACACAAACTTGGGCTCCAGAGTTGCTTTTTTGTCAAGTCACACCCCTCCTGTGGGCTTTGGCCCAAATACGCTGAGAAGACAGGTCTCCCTGCCCTGGGCAGGACCTCAGGCTCCTCCAGCAGTATTCAAACTTACACTTTTAAAGCTCCTGCGTGCATGCATTACTTTGATAAATATAACTATTAAAAAGCAAATTATGTGCCCTGGCTGGTTTTGCTCAGTGGTTAGAACGTCAACCTGCGGAATGAAGGGTCGTGGGTCCCTGACCCTGGTCGGGGTTGTGCGGGAGGCAACCAATTGATGTGTCTCTCTCACATCGATGTTTCTCTCTCTCTGTCTTCCCCTCCCTCCCCCTTCCACTCTATCAAAAATCTATTGAGCCCAGCCAGTGTGGCTCAGTGGTTGAGTGTCAACCCATGCACTAAGATAAGAGATTGCCGGTCGATTCCTGGTCAGGACATATGCCCAGGTTGTGGGCCCAAATCCCCAGTGTGGAGCATGCAGGAGGTGGCCCACTGATGTTCTCTCTCATTGATGTTTCTCTCTCTCTCTCTCTCTCTCAAATCAATAAAGAAAAAAAATTTTTTTAACCAATTGAAAAATATGCTCAGGTGAGGATTAATCAAAAAGAAAAAAAGGCAATTTATGTTTTGTTTGTTTTTTTAAAGATAGACAATAACAAGCACTGGTGAGGATACAGAGAAACTGGCATCCGCATCTACTGCTGATGGGAATGTGAAACTGCTACCATTCTGGAATTCACTTGGCGGTTCCTTAAAATGCTGAACATAGATTTACCAGTTTACTGTGGGACCCAGCTATTCCACTCCTTGGTATCTATCCAGAGAAATGAAAACATGCCCACACCAAGACTGTGCAGGAATGTTCATGGCAGTATTATTCATAATAGTTCCAAACAGGAAACAACTCCAAATGCCCAACAACCGATGGCTAAATAAACAAATGTCCCATATCCACAGAGTGGGACACTATTCTGTAATAAAGACAATGTTCAGACGCATGCTACAATATAGATGAACCTGGGACACAGCAAGCCAAGTGAAAAAAAGCCAGCCACAGTAGACCACACAGTGTATGAATTCCATTTACATGAAATGTCCAACAAAGGGGAATTTACACAGACAGAATGGAGACTAATGGTTGCCAGGAACTGGGAGTAGAAACGGGAAATGACAGCTAAATAGGAAATTTGTTCCTGGGATGATAGAAATGTTCTAAAATTAGAACACAGTGATGGTTGCACAACTTTGCAAATACATTAGACATCACTGAATGGTACACTTACAATGGGTGACTTTTTTGGCATGTTAAGTTATATCTCAATAAAGCTGTTTTTAAAAAAGCAAATGATGGAGTCTATTTTAAAAAGAGAACTTGCAAACCATGAGCTATGTGCTGAAAGGTTGGTATTGCTATCCCTTTTTTACAGATAAGGAACCTGGGGCTCAAAGATAAGCAACCAGTACAAGCAAATGTAGTGGTTAAAGTGTGCGAGCATAAGCCCTAACCAGAGAGTCCATGACCTTTCTCCCACTTGTGACTGCCTGGGCCCTGAAGCACTATGGGTAGATGACACAGGGGTCTGAGGTAAGGCTCCCTTCACCCCCAATTCCACACAACCTAGCAACCTAGTCACCACATTTGTGTAGCATGTTGTTAGGACAATGGGTGACCTTTGAGTAGCCCAAGATTTTCTCTCTCTCTAGAAACCAGCATTGTCATATTGTCATTTATAAGAAGATACATATATTTGCTTTTAGTCTGTTCCTGACTTACAGCTCCCCAAATCCTTGGAATTTCCTAAGTGATAAGAGCAATGGGAGCATCTTTTCTTAGTTGGTCTGTTGTCACCAGTTCTTGAAATAGCTCCAGAGCCAAAAGGGGTGAAAGGAGTGTGTTATGGACAACAATCCCCTTTCAACTACACCTGAATTTATGAGAATGGGGCAACTTTTGGAAATCCCCTAAGGATGGGGGCTGGTTGCCAGGGAAACCAACCATAATGAGAGGATTGGAACTTTCAGTTCCTGGGAGGGGAGAGAGGCTGGAGGTTGAGTCATTTCCCAATGGCCAATGATTCAGTCAATCATGTCTGTGTAATGAAGCCTTCATAAAAAAATAAAATAAAAATGAAAACCGCACGAAGTACAGGGTTCAGAGAACATCGGGGTTGTGGAGGTGCTGGGAGGGTGGCATGCCCAGAGGCCCTGGAAGCTGTGTCCTTTCCCCATACCTTGCCTAGTGTATTTCTTCCATCTTGCTGTTCCTGAGTTAAATCCCTTGATAATAAACCAGTAATCTGGTCAGTAAAATGTTTTCCTGAGTTCTGTGAGCTGCTTTAGCAAATTAATCTAATCGAAGGAGTGGGTCATGGAAACCTCTGATTTATAGCCATTTGGTCAGAAGCAAAGGTGACAACCTGGACTTGCGACTGGCATCTGAAGGGGGCAGGCTTGTGGGACTGGGCCCTTACCCTGTGAGACCTGATGCTGCCTCCTAGCAGACAGTGGCAGCTTGGAAGTGCTGGAAAAAGCACACATTGGAAGAATTAAATACAGGAGGCCAGAAGTTAGCAGATGTTACTATTTGAAAATTAAATTTTACCTCTCTCCAGAGCTCCCCCTGGGGTGGCCTGGAAGGTGGGCTTTGGAGCCAGGTTGCAGTTCTGCCAGTCAGCCCCTGGGGGACTCTGGGCAAGATACTTAAATCCCTCTGTGCCTCAGTTTCCTTATCTCTAAAAGTGAGCTAAAACGAGAACCTCTTCTAGAGGACCGTGCTTAAAGCAATACTAAGTGTGAATAAGTGTTTGCCATCTGCATTGTTTTGTCTATGTATTTAAACTTGTCATTTAACCGGGCAGAGCCTGCCTTTGCTCAACTTTGCAACAAAATTGCTCTTTGGCCCATTATGTGTTCTTGTCTACCACGGTGTTATCTGCTGGTGAGGGGGTGAGCAATGTTCTCCAACACTTACCACACATTTTCACTGACCCATATGAAATCAAAGCCCAAACAGGCTGTGGTGGTCATCTGGTCCAAGTCTGTCATTGTACAGATGGGGACAATGAGGTTCTGTACAGCAGAGGGATGCTCTGTCCACAAGCTGGTCCACCTCCCCAGGAGGCCTATCTAATGTGATTATGGAACAAACACTCAACCCAATAAGCTGTGTCCCGACTTCTCCAAAGAGCTCTCCTGTCCTTTTGGCTGAAGAAGTCGGTGAGAAAAAGCCACACTGTGATTTTAAAGACTGTCAAATGCTTATTACGAGTTACTCCATTTGAAAGATTGCAATGACAGCATTTTAAATCCTTCTTCCTTCTGTCCAAACCTCCATCACTGGAAACAAAAAGCCAATTCTTTAAAAGCTGCAAGCCCAATAGGACAGTTTTGCAGATAATGGTTAAGATGTAGGCTTTTCCCGAAGGATGGTTAAAGCATTTTCCCCCTCTTGTTACCTTGGTAACTGCTACCTTGGCGCCCTTGTTGATGAGCTGAACCACATTCTCTGCTTGACCTTTGTATGCAGCTATGAGAAGGCGTTCTGAAAGCGCAGCGACCGCATCCTGCTGGCTCATGAATTAGAAGAGAAAGAGGTTTCCAAATAGAGGTAGATGCGTCCCTTCAGCTCCACACGACGCCACTGGCCAGGGCTGGCACCCACGAAGACAGATGCCCCTGATCATTGGACGGTGCCTTGATTACTATGCCATCTTCAGGACCTAGGGGTTACAAAACAAAGCTGCCATCAGTGCCACTCAGCACTCAGGACAGGCCACACGTCTTCTCTCTGATTTTAGGGCATCGTGCTGATTGCTCATGGCAGGGGAAGGGGACTGGGGGAGACAGGACAGCAAGAAGGACACTTGGCACAGCATAGCCCCTGAACTTACAAGTGGCAGGCAGCAGATGTGCTACCCTCCTCCTCTCTGCCCCCTGGGGACTCTGGATTTGCCAGAGGACTCTGGCCAGAACTGTGAGGTCTGCTCTGCATTTCTGTGAGGGTCTGCAGAGGCCTGATGAAGTCCCCTAAACATCACCTGGCTTCTGACCCACCTGGGCCGGTAACTGTACTATGTATGATCACAAAGGGCTTTCTGGTCCATGTCCTGTGCATCCACCATGGCTGACGTGCCAATTCCCCTGGCAGGTTAGGTGCCCGTGGAGCATGTCCAGGGACCCTGAGGAGCGGGTCCTCTCCTTGAGATTTTCTCAGGCACTTATTGCCATTCTCTTCCTCTATCCTTTTCTCATTGCGAACAGTGCCGTTTCCTGAGTTCTGGAACAGATGGGGAGCTGGGCACAGGCCCGGGCTGTCTCCCAGGTCCAACTGCTGCTGGAGCAACCCATCTTGGGAACCACAGGGATGCTAGACACACTGACGGCGTGCACTGCCAACCAGGTTGGGAGGGGCTTGTTGGCAGCTCCCCGGCTCAACAAGGGGGAAATAAATAGCCTACCAAAACCTCCTATAGGCCACTCAGAGCAGAGGTCTGGGGGCATTAACTAGTAGTAAACTTTAAAAAAATTTTTTTTTTTTTTCCTTTATTGATTTTAGAGAGAGAAAGGGAGAAAGAGAGAAAGAGAAACTTCGATGAGAGAGAACATCGACTGGCCACCTCCTGCATCTCCCCCACTGAGGATCTGGCCCACAATCTGGACATGTGCCCTGTCCGGGAACTGAACCGGTGACCTCTTGGTGCATGGGTCGATGTTCAACCACTGAGCCACACCGGCCAGGCACTAGTAAACTTAAGTACACTTAAGCTCTTCTTTCCACCAACTGGTCAAATGAATAGGAGGTTCAAGACTGACTCCTCTCAGTAGCCCTGGGCCGCCATTACAGCAAACCAATGCTAGTGGTAATTACTTCAAAGGCGAAGGGTTCTTCAGGTACAAGAAGGAATACTTAAGGATCTGATCACAGCAAGGAAGTGAGGGCTTCTTTGAATTTTAAATGTACTTATTGAAAAGAGCAATGTTATTGGCAAAAGGAAAGACAACGATATAGCAGGGGGACACCACCCATTCTTCATCCCGGCCCTACTTCCCATTCTAATTGTGAAGGCCCAAACATCCAGGCAACTTTTACTGTTGCATCCAGGCAAACCCAGTGCCCCTCCAGTCTCTGAAGATGAAGGAACTGGCCTCGGTGTGACTGGGCAAGGGCTGGACTGTGCCCGCCGGACCTCCCAGAGGCCGGGGTCAAAGGCTCAGTCAGAACACCAGGACTGTGGTGAGGATTAACGATGGTATTTTATTATGTGAGTGTATTGGTCAAATGTGAAATTATAACTTCAGAAAGAATTCTTCTCTCTCCCCAGCTTGTGAATGATCAAATTCACCTTGTCATCCAAAATACCCAAAATGCAGGTAAAGAACCACAAGGCAACAGAGAGAAGGACCCTCGCATACAATCCTGCTCTGGTCACCAGGCTTGTTAGAGGCACAAGACGCCTGGAGAAGGGTATGTGCAGAGACTCCTCCGTCAGCCGGGGTCGGAGATCCCTGGAATCTGTCAGAAATCTTTGTTGAATGAATGAGTCAATGCAAGAATAAAGTCGAGACTCAAAACGGAGAAATGACCTGGAAATGCTTTTGGAAATTCCCAGGATGAGATGGAAAGACAGCAGTTTGGGCTTTGCATTTGCCAGACTATCTCTCTGTTTGGAAGTGGTTTGTTTTTGTGAACATAGGACATATTGTGTCTCTTTACTCCGGGAATCTGGGGTACCCTCAAACCAATTATACTGAGCTTTTGCTCTGTTTGCCCCAACACCCAAAAAGCACTCCAGGCCCAAATGGCAGAAAAATACAGTATATTAGCTATGACTTCTTGAATGATCGCCCTCCTACAACTACATTCTTCTCCATCAACTCAATTGTTATTTCTGTGCACTGGACCTAAACCGCCACCCTCCCTTTCCCATACCTTTTCTGCAATGGGCCTGAGAATGTCTCAAGTACAATGTCCTGGTTCATACAAATATTGTTATCATGGCTACAATTTTACTCATTCCATTCCACAGCTTAGCTCCTGGGAATAGAGCTCTTGCAGCAACCTCAGTGCATGCCTCAGCTAAGGTCACAAGCTCCAGACCAGAGTGCTGTCTGGTCTCCCCGGCAACAGATGCACCGGGTCAACAGGCCTGTGGTACACTGCCAGCCACCCCTCCCACACCCCTGTCCCGTGCGATAAATTCAGCCTCTCAGACACTGAGACGAGAAAGTGCAGCTACCCTTTCTGCCATGGTTGCAAGCTACTGAGATAGCCTTGCTTACATAATTACCTTTGGTAAACAGCCCTTTGCAAATCCAGCACACATTACAATTTTTTTTTAGGTGGAAAAACACTACAGTTGTGAGAAAATGTTGGCCAATCAGAAATGTCATGTTTTTTCTTGCTTTTCAGTGACAGCTACTGAATAATAAAATGTTCCCACTCCCCACCCTCCCTACCCCCTCCTCCAGCTAGGCTCGTTGAGGGCACAGGGCAGCCTCTAGGATAGGTCACTATTTTGGATACATGTGCCCCTCACAGAAAACTGCCTGCAAAATCTGGAACAGGATCCCAGGTTTCTAGGTCCCGGTCTGTTGCTAGCACCATCCCTGTGTACTTGGGTATCTCAAGTTCATTCTCAAATTAAATCCAGTAGCAGCCTATTGTGAGGGCCTCCAGCATACACTTGCACTTGCATTTACAGGTGGGTGGGAAGAAATGAAAGTGGCTAAAAGCTTTTTCTTCCTCCTCTCCTCCAGCCTTGGTGGGGGTGCAGGCCCAGCTCAGCTTCCTCCCCACGTCTCTCATGATCACTGCCCTATAAAACAAGGATCCCCATCCTTGTGGAGTGAGGAGCTACCCAAGCTTCTCCTCTGATACCTCTGAACTGACGAATCAGGCCAGGCAGAGGCAGGTTTGGGGAGAGGGAAAGGGGGAATGAAGGGGGTCCCCAACAATGAGTGGAAAGGGGAGAGGAAGCATGGAATGGTGACCAGTCTACAATCAAAGAGTTAAACTTCCCAGCCAACCTGTTGGGTCCCCAGGCCGTAGCAGCCCCGTTCCCTCATTAAATCTGAGCCTCCTCTTCCAAGTGGATCAGCTATCACGCAAGACACTTCCCATTGCTGGCGGAGAGGAGTTTCTTCTGCCCCAACTCTATCAATCACATCCCTCTTTGTCACGATGCTCATTTTCACAGTGTTCTGGAGGAAAACCTTAATCACAAACATGCTGCCAGTTCTTAGGCAGAAATGAAGTAAATGCATGATCATAAATATGCAATGAGTATCCTGAATCCAAAAAGGGATTTAGCTTCCAATAAAAATTTCCCTCCTGCCTCTCAGCCCACTGCCCCATTTTCACTGCTCTCCAGTTTGCGGAGTCTTTTCTCTCCCACCACAAATGCCAGAGGGCCTCCCAGCTGTTTGGTCTGTGATGCCATCAGCGTTCTTTTTATAGCCAAAGGTCTGAGGTTTGCTTTTGCTCTTTTTTTTTTGAGGATTTACAACAAAGTCTCCTCTTCCCAATATCCCAAAGCCACTACATTCAGGCAAAATATTCCAGAAGAGACCTGCAAACAAAAGTCCCAGCCAGGCATTATGCACAACCTCCCCCAGAGACGATCCACAGGCACCCGGGCATCAGTTACAAGAACTCACTTTGCTCCTCCTGCTCCAAACCCTGCATCAAAGAGAGATTGTACTCACATCTGGGGGTCGGTCCTCCCCGTTCTACCTCATGTTCTGTGGCTGAATAACTGCAGTCAGTTCTTTCCTGGAGAGACCATTAGCTTCCTAGGGCTGTCATGCCCAGTGGGTCTGCAGTGATTTACCTGACAATGCTTGCTGCCTTTTCCCCTTGAGCTTCCTCTGCCAACACTGGGCAAATCACATCTAAAAGCTTATTAAGACATCCGTTCAGCTTGCCAATGTTTTGTGGCTTCCTAGTCTGCTCGTCACAGCTTCCGAAAGGTTTTGGGTCTTTGGGTTTTGTGGGAGAGCTCCCTCCTGCCGGCAGAGGACCTGTAACACTGCCCTGATTGAAGAGTCAGGGAATAATTCACAGATGGGCGGGAGGCTTGTGAATGGTGCTCAGACAACCGGCGCTGGCACTCTCTCAGTAGTAATGCACGGAGAAGAGATGAATGTGCATGTTGTGAAGGAGGGAGGAGGCAGCAAGGTTCAAGATCTGCAACAAACGGCCTTTCTGGTAACAGGAAAATGCTCACACTGTGGGAACAGCAAAGACCCAGACACCACCCTCCTCGGCAGAGGTTCCCGCACAGGGACTGCAGCAGGGCAGCAGACACGGGGACAGCTGGGCTGCCGTTCCTGACGTTTGCAAAGCCGGTTTGTCTCACAAACCCTCCTCTGAACAGTCTCTGAAGAGAAGGGGAAAGGCAGAAAAAAGGGAGCAAGTCTGTTTCAAGTACAGTCAGTGGCACATTACAGGTGTGTCCTCCAGCCCACCTGTTGAAACAACAGAGAACCAGCTTCCCACCTGCAGTAATCACAGAAAGGAAGGTTTTCATTTTTACTTAAGCCAGTGGTACCACCTTGTCCTCGTTTCCAAAGCCAAAATTGTTGGTCTTGGAGATGGAAAATAACTGTCAACACAAACCTTCTGGGCCCCCTCTCTGCCCACAGCCCTGCCCCCATTCCGCTGAGAGGAGTAGCTCTGTGGGTGATGAGCTGGGATTCTATTTTGGCCTTTATTTGGCTTATACCAGGGGCAGGAGAAGAGCCAGGGATTCCGGCCAGTATGCTGCAGAGAGACGGATTCCAACCGAAGAGACAAAGTGCCCATGGGACAATAGGCTTATTTTCAATACACAACACTCGTACCAGTTTATCCAGGAGTGATCACCACTGGAGGACAAGTGGGGTTAGAACAGAGATGAATGTGACTCACTCTCGACTCCGAAGAACGCATCATCTAAGCCTCGACCAAGCCCCAAAGGCCAGATGGCAGGAGAGAAATGTAAATGGAATGTGACAGAAATGCAAAACACCGAGTGGTTCTTCTCAAAGCTCCTGGGACATTTCTCCTGAGAGCATCCACAGCTAGGGACCGCCAAACTATCAGTGAGGACAGCACAACACTGCTCACAGGGCCTGGCGTCCCCAAGAGCTACCTGCAGAAGAGAGAGAGACAGCTGCACAGACCTGCCTCTTGAGCAAGCCCATGACTCCTTTAACACGCCTGCCACAGCACAGGAACCTGTGTGCTTGCTTCTTGAGCCACCTCAAGTACACTGACTTCTCTAAAGCGGGGACAGTTGCTGAATCTGAACTGATCACCTTAGCAGGAGACAGAGAGAGGCTGTTGCAGTGTGAGTTGAGTGACATCTGGACACTATTCGGGAAAACTCTGACATGCCCCACCAGCAAGAAATGTAAACATACTCTCAGGGACATAAGGACATATCCTGGAATAGAGATGTGATGACAGGAGGCTTTCTCATGGGACAATAATTACTTGCTGGCTGCCTGGCACTGAATCACCAGAGCCTCCAGACTGGCTGCCTGGCACGCACATCGTCTAGCAAATGGCCCGCACGCTCACCATCCAGACCGAGAGGCACTGGAATTCTGCAGCCCCGTCTTTCCCGAGACAAGGTGATCACGCCCTGGCCTGTGCTTCAGTTTTCTATATGTTCTTGCTGTGGACTGAAATTTGTCCCCCTCAAAATCCATGTTGAAACCCTGACCCTCATTGTGACAGTGTTTAGAAATATATAGGGCCTTTATACACTAATTAAGGTTAAGGGAGGTCATAACGTGGGACCCTGTCCGGATAAAAAGAGACACCAAGCAACTGATTGATATTTCTCTCTCTGTCTCTCTCATCAATAAAAAACAAACAAACAAACAAACAAACAAACAAACAAACAACACATATCCTTGGGTGAGGATAAAAAAAAGAGAGAGAGAGAGGCCGAAGAGTGTCCACATGCTGTCTCTCTCTCCAAGCTCCCGCCCCACCCACCTGCTCAGAGGAAAGACCATGTGAAGAGAGCAAGAAAGTGGTCATCTACAAACCAGGACGAGAATCCTCATCAGAAACCAGACCCTGCTAGAGCCGGACCTGGGACTTCCAGCCTCCAGAGCTGTGAGATAATAAATCCCTGTCGTTCAAGCTGCCCAGCCCATGGTGCTGAGCTACGGCAGCCCGAGCGGACCTAGCCCAAGCCCTGCACAGAGTGATCACTGCCCTGGGCTCAAGGCTGGTCTTCCCGGTTAGACTGAGCTCCTGGGGGCAGGAAGTGCTTGGGCTACCGTACAGCCCCCGTAGCTGGCATGGCTCCCGGAACACAGCCTTTAATGTCTGGTAAGTGGATGATAGAAAAACTAGTAATCAACTGCTTTATCTAATCATTCACTGGTCTTCAAAAGCCTGTAGGTACCATAAGAACCAGAAGAGGTGCCAACCCAGTCAGCTAACCCTTTTCCTTTCCTCACAGGTGAGGCAGGCTGTGGCTCCAGAACCTCCAAGAGATACAGTGTTGTCATTATCCTCTCTCCCTTCCTCCCCACAATAGAGGACGGCAGCTCCAGGGGCCAGAGTTACTGATCTCGAGACAGTCCCTACTCAGTGACACAGGTCTGTCAGCACCCAAGCTCTGGACAGCACTACAGCCACCCCAGGAATTTTCTTCTCATTACCCTCAACCCTCAACTAAAGACGAACCAAAATGAATGAATGAATGAATGAATAAATAAATAAAACTGAATTACAATAAAAACCAATCCCTAGAGAGTAGTCCATCTTCCATGTATCCATAGCTCAACTCTTACCCACTCCTTAAATCTGCTTTGATATAGTTTCCTTCTGCCCCCAATTTCCCTACTAAACTGCCTGTGGTTGATGTTGATTTGTGGTGCATTGAGCTTTGGTTGAAGAGATGGGCACAAAGCACTGTGGAAACAGGGAGGGAGATCCTTCTTGCTTGGTGTGCTGGGGGCTCAGCACACCAAGTTCTCAAGGAGTCAGCCAAGTTCTCACAGAGAAGGTAGCATTTGCGCTGGATGTTGGAGGATGTGTAGGATTTTGTGAGGCAGAGAAGTGGGGAAGACATAGGCAGAGGAATAGCAAGAGCAAAAGCCGAGTGGTCCGACAGTGTGCGTCATTAATAGGAAAGCAAAGAAACTTTTGCAGCTGGAGCTTGTCATACGTGGGCAATGACCAGAGGCGACGCTGCAGTCAGGCTGTGGAAAAACTCTCACCATGCCAAAGACATTGGACTGTAGCTTGCATCTGTGATGGGAGCCCTAGGGGCTGGTAAGTAGAAGAGAGACTAGTCAGAATTTTGCTCTACTTGGAACTCAAGCACACAGCATTGGATTAATTATAATATGGATTCATGATACACTTTCAAGATTGTATGTACATGGCTTTCTTTCTCGTCCTTCCTTTATTCCCTCCTTCCTTCTTTCCTTTTTGTTTTATTAATTAATAGACTTTATTTTTAGAGCAGTTTTAGGTTTAGAGAAAAATTGAACAGAAATTGCGGTTTCCATATAGCCCCCTCACCCATAGTCCCTTCCTCCACCCAACCACCCCCACTCCACCACATTGGCTCCTATTATTAACATCTTGCAATCTTGCATTAGTTTAGTACATTTGTTACAACTGATGATTCAATATTAGTACATTATTACTAACTAAAGTCCATGGTTTACATTAGGTCTCAGTCTTTGCGTTATACATTCTACCAGATTGTATAAATGTATAATGACATGTATCCACCACTACAGTGTCATACAGAAGAGTTTCACTGGCCTAATGCTCCACCTATTCACCCTTCCTTCCCCCAAACCCCTGACAACCACTGATCTTTTTACTTTCTAATTTTGCCTTTTTTGGAATGTCATATAGTTGGAATCATACAGTATATAGCCTTTCCAGGCTGGCTTCTTCCACTTAGTAATATACATTTAAGGTTTCTCCATATCTTTTCATGGCTTGATAAGTACATTTCTTTCTTGTGTTGTTGTTGTTGTTGTTTTAATCCTCACATGAGGATATGATTTTATTGATTTTTAGAGAGAGAGGAAGGGAAAGAGAAACATCAATCTGTTGACTCCTGTACACACCCTGACCAGGGATTGAAACTGCAACCTCGGTATGTGCCCTGACACGATATCGAACCTGAAACCTTTTGGTGTATGGGACAATGCTCCAAGCAACTGAGCCAACCAGCCGAGCAGCTCTTTTCTTTTTATCACTGAAAAATATTCCATTGTATGGATGTATCACAGTTTACCTATTTACCTATTGAAGGAATCTTGGTTACTTTTAAGTTTTGACAATTAAGAATACAGCTGCTATTGCCAGGCCGGTGTGGCTCAGTGGATTGAGTGTTGTCCTTTGGATTGCGAGGTCCCAGGTCAATTCTCAGTCAGGGCACATGCCCAGGTTGTGGGCTCGGTCCCCAGTAGGGGGTGTGCAGGAGGCGGCCAATTGATGTTTCTCTCTCACATCAATGTTTCTACCTCTCTCTCCTTTCTTCGCTCTCTAAAAAAATCAATAAAAACGTATTTAAAAAGGAAGAAGAAAGCTGTTATACAAATCTGTATACAGTTTTTGTGTGAATAGAAGTTTTCATCTCATTTGCGTGAACGCCAAGGAATTCAATTGCTAAATCATATGGTAGGATACTGTTTGACTTGGTAAGAAACTGTTATATAAGTATCCCCCACTTTTCAAAAGTTTACTTTACCCCAATTTGCTTTTATAAAAGACCTATATTAGTACCTGTTTTCAGTAACTGCAAAAAGTCCAAAGAGGATTTTTCACCTTACAAAAAAAACAAGGTGAGAAGCGAAAACAGCATTCAGCCTTTGTTTTCAGCAGCCATGACAGAGGCAGCGCACACCGGGCAGCCAGGATGGCCCCGCCAAGCTCCTGCCCCAGGAAACACACCCAGCGTCTCAGCATCAAGCCGCCACAGCTCTGAGCTGTGTCTGGGAGCATCCGTGCTTTATCTCAATTTATTTTGTGCATCCGTTAGCAAGACACATCCTGAGGTGATTGCTTCTTCACTTTACGCCATATCGCTTGCAGAAGGATCCACAGAAAGGCTTTGCTTTCAGAAGGTGGGGGGAAACTGCATTGTCTTCCAAAGTGGCTATAATGTTTTGCCTTCCCACCAGCTGGTTTTACACTGACCTAGTTGCTAACCGCTATGGGGACTTTCAGTTCTTGTCTTACATGGTTTCTCTGTTGCATTGGTACTGCTACCATCCCTCCATCACACTTTGTCCTGGGGTTTCCGTGACCCAC